AGGTTGCCTGTCCTTCTGCAGACTCACTATCCACTATCAGGCAGTGTTCGCCGCTTGCTGTTGTTGTTCTAGATTAGTTTTGCTTTCTAGGCTGTTCCGTCCAAGTAGGGCCATGTAGTTTCTGAGCCCTGTCGACCTTGTGGCGACCATCAGCAGTTTCTGCCCGTCCATGGCCACACTGTACGGATGTCCTGCCGTTGGGTCACCCATTCTCCTACTAGTAGACGTTGGTTATTGATGAATAACATTTTTGCAACCTTCTGTACAAGTCAGGAGTGCAGCTTCCAGGGTATAGGTGGGTCTGTATTTTAGGGATAAGCCACCAGTTTCCCATGGTGGCTGCACCACTTTTCACTCCTGTGGGTTACTCCACATGCTCATCAACATTTAGCATTGTCAGACCTTCCAAATGCTTACTGGGTAGTGGTATTTTACTGTGATTTCAATTTGATTTCCTTTGTGACAATGTTGAGCACTTTTATGTAATTATTAAGAATTTGTGTATGTTCTTTGAAAACATATCTATGTAAAGTTTTTACTCATATTTTATGGGAACATGTCTTTAATACTCAACTGCAATCATTTTTTTAAATATTGTGGATTCATATCTTTTGTCAAATATGTGTATTCCACATTTTTCTTCTAGTCTGTAGCTTTTTACTTTCTTATTTATTTTTTATTCGTATATGTTTGCATTCATCCTGGAGATCTGGAATATACACATATTTCACCTTAGCCCCCTAACTGTTTACCCAAGGCACTTCCTGGGCAGCACATTTGTTTATGGACTGATTACTCTGAATGTGGCTCTGGCAGATTCATTCCAACCAGCGGATTACTGTTTGCAGGAAGACTGCTTATTTATTTTATGTCAATTATTTTCTGCATCCTTTTTTATTTAGAACATTGCATTAACTTTTGATGTCTTTTCTAGTGAAATCTAATAAGTTCTGGTTATTTTCTTTTACTAATTTGTGTTTATTTGATCTGTGAAAAATAACTATAACTGTGTGTTACAATCTATAAAAACTCATCATAAACACATTAAGTACTTTATAGATATCTCCAGAATTCAGCGATGTTCTTTTACAATACAAAAAGCATACATCTGAGACACTGAGATTGGATAGGAAGAAGGTACCCAAAGATCTGCAAAAGAAAAATCTAAAAAAGGAAGAAATGTTAGCAGGTCAGAGAGGAAAGCTCTGTGCTATGAAGTGTAAAGACAAAAATGACGTCTCCTTACTGTCGACTCAAACACAGAACACAGAACACAGAACACAGAAATGACAGAACGTGAAAGAAGTGAAAGTCAACGACTTCCAATAGTGGTCAATGGTTATTTTAACTCTATGTGGTGTTGGCAGAGTTGAGAACATCTAACAAGCTGTCCTGTAATCAAACAGTGAGGAAAAGTATTATTACAAAATACTGATGCACCTTCTGGACCAAACAATATGGAACTCATGTGTTATTTTCTTAAAACAAAAGGGTTCAAAAAGTCATTTGTGATTTAGATCAGGTCTAATAGATCAAAGAAATGAAAAATGTGTGATAGCAAAATGCCAACCAGACCTTCACCGTCAGCACCTTCACCGGTACATTTCATGGGCATTTTATTGAAACTGTACAACCCACAGAAAGAAAGGATAGGTCAGTACGGCAGTGTAGAGTGGGTTGTCCAAAGAAAGACAATAATGCAAAAGAATTCAGAAAGAGTCTAGGTGCTACTGTTCAGACTGTACTATTGTGTTTTGGGTTGAATATTTTAATATATACCACACATAAAAAAGTCATTAAATAAATTTGATAAAATTATATTATTAAGCTGAGCATGGTGGTGCATGTCTGTAATCCCAGCACTCTGGGAGGCTGAGGCAGGAGGATTGTTGTGACTTTGATACCAGCCTGAGTTACAAAGTGAGTTCAAGGCCAGTCCGAACTGCGTAGTGAGACCCTGTCTCAAAAAGACAAAAAAAATTATTATTAAAATTAATGAAAAAGTGTACTTTTTGGTTATCCTGTACCTAAATGATTGGAAAGTTAAGTGGTTAATCATTTTTACTTTCCACCCTCCTATATTCCCCCATTCCCAGGTTAACTAGTACTTTTTGAAGAGGAGAAGATTTGAATTTTGATGGAGTCTATTTAACAATTTGTATTTATAAGCTTTTCTTTTCTTTTTGAGACAGCCACTATGCCCAGCTTTTGTGTGTGTTTGAAGAAACTTTTCCCTGGTTTTTTTTTTTAACCCTATCCAAGGTTGTAAAGATTCTCTTTCATTTTTGTAGAGGTTTTCTGTTGAGGTCCATCTGCGTGTTGATCTGCACTGTGTGCAGTGTCAGGCGGAGGCGTGGGAGGTCTCTCTTCCCCAGAAGTCGAAAGTTGTTTCAGCACCTTTGTGGGAAGGTTGTTCTTTCCTCATCTCTTGATGTCTTGATTGAAACCAACTAATAGGTCCACAGATTAATGGATCTGTTTTTAGATTCCATCTCTTTTCCATGGACCTGTAAGCCCAAGCACATGTAATTTCAATTCTTGGGATTACTCAGCTTCTCAGTGAGTTTTGAAATCAGGTATGGTAAAATCCTCCAATTTTTTTCAAGAATGTTTTGACTACATGGAAATTCACATTATGGCAGTTTGGCTTGTAAGCATTTGGCAAAGTTTTGTGTTTATTTGCAAAAACAAACACAACTGTCACCATCTTTTCTGCACAAACACAAACGTGGTGGTCTTTTCCAGAATCGTGGAATGAATTAAGTTCATGAACCAAGATATCACTGAAACTTTGTCTCTAATACTAGAATGATACTGCATCAAAACGAGTTGGGATTTTCACATTTTCTATTTTCTGAAGGAGTTTGTGAAGATTAATATGAACACTTCCTTAAATATTTCATAAGGTTTTAGGTCTGGAGTTTCCATTTTGGAAGGTTTTTGGTAATGTTTTTATTTTAATCTATAGCTATCTTTAGATTTTTTTTCTCCATAAGTTTGGAATTTTTTTCCTAAGTTGCCAGCTTTTGGGGGGCAAAGTCTTTGTATTTTTCCTGTGTGTGTGTGTTCTGCTCTGCAGCCAATTTTCTTGTTTAAAATTTTTTCATTAGTGTATGTTTGTGATACATAGAGAGTACACTCATCCTGGGCATTGATACATACATGTCACATGCTGCTAATTTTTGCTCCCCTTTGGCCCCAAACTCCTCTCTCTCTCTCCTTCCTCAGGTCTACTTCCCATCTCTAGAGCCTACTGCCCTGTTTCTTAATATGGCCCTTTTTATTGTGTTCTTTAAATTACTTATACTTGGGGTTTCTCATAATGGAAAAACCATTCAAAGTCCATTCTTTTATGATTGACTTACTTCACTTAATATTATGGTCAAAAGGTCCATCCATTTTCATGCAAATGACTCAAATAAATCCTTTATGACCACATAGTACTCCATTGTATATATAGATCACATTTTCTTATCAATCCATCTGTTGAAGGGCACATAGGCTTCTCAGAGGATTTAGCTATTGTGAATTTTGCTGCTATAAACATGGGCATACATGTATCACTATAGTGTGAAGACTTTAGCTCTTTTGGGAAGATATCTAGGAGAGGTATGTATAGCTGAGTTAAATGGATTTTCTATTGTTATCTTTTTGAGGTATCTCCATACTGATTTACAAAGTGGTTGTACTAATTTCTATTCCTACCAACAGTGTAGAAGGGTTCCTTTTTCCCACATCCTCACCAGCATGTATTATTTTTTTTTTTTTGTCTTTAGCAAAAAATGGCCATTCTTACTGGAGTAAAGTTGAATCTTAGTGTTGTTTTGATTTTACATTTCTTTAATGGCCAAGGATGCTGTTTTTGTGCCAGTACCATGTTATTTTTACTATTGTAGCTTTGTAGTATAATTTGCAGCCTCGAGTTGAGGTAATGATTTGCTTTTATTGCCCAGGTTTGTTTTGGTTATTCTGAGTCTCTTCTGATTCTGTATGAATTTAGAATTTTTCTAATTCTGTGGAAAAAGCTGGTGGTATTTTGATGAGGAAATGCATTAAACCTGTCTGTCTCTATCATCTGTCTGTATGTAGCTATCATCATCATCTATCTGTCTACCTATATAATTTTGACAATTCCTGATTTTGGTAAACCTATATCTTTATTATTTCTATCTATCCAAGAATAGGGGAAGCCTTTCCATTTTCTAATATCTTTTCAATCTCTTTTTTCAGAGCAATACATTTCCATAATAAGTTTTATTATTTCTCTTCCAAGGTTGTGTTAATTTCATGATTTTCAACTTCTTTGAAACTAATGAAACTTCTATGAAACAAATGAAATCGTCTTCCTGATTTCTTTCTTAGAGGTGGGCTCATTCTTGTTGCATAGAATACTACAGATTTTAATTATGAGTCTTGCCACTTTAGGAACTTTCTAGTGGAGTGTTTTGGACTATGTAAAGGGTGGTGTCATTTGGGAAGGATATTTTGACTCCTTCTTTTCCTACTCAAATCCCTTTTATTTCCTGTCTCATTACATTGGCTGAAAGTTTGAGTGCTATATTGAAGAGGAGTGGTGACAGTTGGAACCCTTATCTTGTTCCACATTTTAGGGAAAATGCTTTCAGTTTTTCTCATTTAGTATGGTGCTGGCAGTGGATTTGTCACAGATGGCTTTAAACGTAAAGACTTCTATAGCAATTTCTATCAAGGTTTTGCTTTGTTTTTCTCATGAATAGATACTGGATTTTGTCAAGGTTTTTCTGTAATATTCCTTTGTGATCTTTTAGGATTTTGTTGTTTGTGAGAGTCTCAATATGAAGTCCAGATTGGCCTTAACCTTACTGTGTAGTCCAGGCTGGCCTCAAACTTGCAGTGATCTTCCTGCCTCAGCCTCTCAACACTGGCCTTTTTGATCTTTTGAGTATCTTCAGTTCTGAGCTCCTGCTTCATTCCTGATTTTGGTAATGTGTGTGTGTGTGTGTGTGTGTGTGTGTGTGTGTGTGTGTGTGTGTATGTGTTTCATCTTGATCAGTATTTATCAATTTTGCTCCAAATATTTATCAATTTTATTGATATTTTTAATAGATCAGCACTGTTTTTTTTTTTAAATTTCATTGACTCCCTTTTTTTCAAATTTCCTTCTTCTCACCTTCTTGATTTAATTTAGCTTTGCATGGTGGAAACCTATATCCTTATTTTACATCTTTCTTTTTGGATTTTTCTGCCTGAAATGTTATTCAGAAATTTATCTCTTAATTTCAGAATATTTGGAGAATTTAGCAGATATGTTTTTATCGACTGTAGCTTAATTCTAGTCCTGTGCTTTCCATCAGTTACTGAGAAGGGTGTTGGAATCTCCTCCACACTGTGTCTTAGCCTAATTTTCTTCTCAGCTGTATCAGCTTCTGATTCATGTGTCTGAGGTGTGTGGAAAATGAGAGGGGTACATATGTCACAGTGCATCTCGCTGATGACATCCTCAAGGTTTACAGCGTTTTCTTTAACCCTGGTAAATTGTTTGCCCTGCGCCTACTGTGTATGGTAAAGTTCTCCGCCTTTCTTAGTATGTTCATGCCATATCCTTTTGTAGCTCTTCTTTTGTTTATTTGTGTCTTTATATTTAAAGCACATTTCTTTAAGTATTATTTTCTTGTTCTCTTATGCATACTGACATCTCTGTCTTTTAAGAATGGTGTTTAGATAATTTCTGTTTCTTATAAATATGTCTAATTAAACTTACCAGTTTTCTAATTTTTTATTTGCTGTTTCTTCTCCATTATTTTCCTTTTTCCAGCTCTCCTTTTGGCTACATGTTCTTCAGGATGGCTATGGGACGTTCCATGCCTGGGCCACAGCCCGAGCCATCGGAGTTGAACGCCGGTTCCCAAGCGTGGGAGGTGAGGCGCGGTCCTCCTGTGGCTGCTGCCAGACTGCCGCTCGGGTGAGCGTCCCCGGGGTTGTGCCAAGGCTGGGGCTTCAGGCTGGGGCGCTGCTGGGCCTGCACAGCCTCGGGCACCGGGCACCACCCCAGGCTGTCAGAGCCGCGCTGCTTCCCACAGGCCCAGAGTGGTGGCACCGCAGAACTAAGTCAGAATAGTGCTCCGGGGGGATTTCGTTCTGTCAAATAAGCTGCCTAACACAGCATCTTTCTTTCTTCAGTGGTTGGTCCAGAGTGTCCAATATATACTTTTTTTTTGGTGTTGTAGATGAAACCCAGGGTGTCACTCTCCACCGCTGAGCTGCACCCCAACCCTGAAGTTTCCTCCTTCTGCTTCAGGCTCCCCTCTCTACACACAGCACCTGCAGCGAGCTGGAGGCTGGGCTGCTCATTTCCCTCTTAGCCGGCATGCTGCTGGTTCGCTTTTTCTGTATTCCTGTGTTGTAATCCCGAGTACATTGTTGTCTCTGCTTTAAACAGCCTATTCTGTGGTAGTTATTTTTTGCATGAGAAAAGAATTCTTCATACCAGTGCTCGGCTTTGCGTAGTCCGAGCCCGCCTGGGGCACTTTCTGTACTTGCCAGGCTGTCTGGAGTCACTCCCTGCAGGTGCCTCCCAGGTCAGGGTGTCTTCTGCTCCCTACCGGACTGTGTTTCTCTGCCAGCCAGGCTCACACAGAGCTGCCCCACACTCTGTCCTTGGAGTGGGAGGTGTTTGTCCTTACGCATTCTGTTTCCTTCTGACCAGGGTAAGGGTTCCTCCTTGCCCCTGCAGACATTGGGGATCCAACTTATTATTTATTTTGCTTATGTTATTTGGCATTTGCAGAGATTCTTCTATCTGTAGCTACATAATTTTCAGCAGATCTGGTAGAACTCATCAGTGATTTCTGCAGCCGATTTTCTGACCCCTCTGTCCTGAATACAATGAGAAGTATGTCTGACTGGCTACACTGAGTCTGAGACCCCTGATGCTCCACTCTTCCTTCATGACTGTGTTTTCTGTGTTCTTTGATGTGCAGTTTCCACTTTTGTTTTGTTGGGGTTTTTTTTTGAGACAGGGTCTCACTATGTAGCCAGGCTAGCCTTGAGCTCATGGTGATCTTCCTGTTTCAGCCTCCTGAGTGCTAGGATTACAGGCATTCACCATCATGCCCAGATTTCTATTTATATTTATTTTTAGCTCTCTGATCTTTTCAACTCTAGCATCTAACCTACCAAGCATGATTAAAAAGAATAGTACTTAAATTTTAAATGAATTGTTACAATGAGACACACTCCCATGAATTCCCTTCAGATACTCCCCCTCACCGAGAGCCACTCATCCTCTCACCCTTGCCATGTTCTAAAGTGTGTTGGAAGTTCTCTTTACCGTGTGTCTTGCACTATCCCGGATTCCTTTATGTCTTGGATGGATTTGGTTTATGTTTCATGGTCATTTTGCTTTAGGGAAGTGCCAAAGGTCAAACAGTGCTGGGTTCAGTGAAGAACAAGACACATGAAGACACAGTATCACGTTTTTAGCAGCCCAGCTTCTTGTTGAATGGCACTCAGCAGGAGCAGCCAACGTATTTCTTTTTAATCACACCTCGTAAAGACATGAGAAAGGCTGTGAGCAGGGCCCACCACTGCAGCAGATCCTTCCACCTCACACTGCTCAGAGTCTCAGAGATACCCGAGGGGTCCTGGGTTGTGTGTCAGTGACATGGATCACTTCCATTCTGGCTGCAGGGCCAGTGTGCACTCTAGACACAGGCTCACTGGTCCTGGTAACCAGGCCTACAGAGCACCCATAGACCAGTGTCCCACCAGGAGACCCACTGCATGGTGAAGGGTGGGGCACAGCCCCTGACTGTAGGACCCACTGGTCTCTGTGGTTGGCAGTAGCTTATACACCTTCTGAAGGCAGGGCTTAGCTTTCTAGTGGTGGCACCACTAGAAAGATGGATCCTTCTGCAGGACAACCCACAGGGAGTCTCACATCCTGGGAGAACCTGGAGACTGGACCCAGACAGGTGTGACCACACTGCCACCTTCCATGGTCCTCTGGAGATTTGTATAGTTTGTTCCACAGCTTTGGGCCTTAGAGAACTGGGGGATCTGTGAAAGGTTCTGCCTCAGTAGAAATTATGGCGGTGGTCCTAGCCTGACGGAGGGCCAAAGCGGGAACGCCTACCACTTCCTGCTTCTTCTTCAGCCTTAATTGCAACTCCCCTTCCTGTTTGCACATGAAGAAAACTCCAGTCAGCTCCTTGAGCCTCATCAATATCTGCCCTAAATGCCACCCCTAGTTAGATGTTATATATGGATCCTATATCCCATGTTCCAGCCAGAGAAAGCCAGGCTGCCGGCGGTCATGGAGTTCTCTCCATGTCCTTGGAGTAAAGGCTATTTTTACTTTATATTCTCTCTCTTTTATTGCACCAGAAAGTCTTTCAGTCTGACCCCTAGAGTCTCACTGGACCTCAGTTTCAGCTGCCACCAGGGCGTTTGAGGCTCCCTATGCCTTGGGAGCCAGCAGAGGTATCATCTGGGGCAGGAGGAACCAATGTGGGCCTGAGGAAGTCATGTGAGTATTTATCTCCCCTCCCACTGAGAACAGAACTGGCAACAACCTGGGCCACAGGGTTTGCCTGCCATGGGCTCAGGGCCTCAGGAAGAAAGTCTAGGTCATGGCCAAGGATGAGCCCTGAGACCTGCCCTCATGATAGGTATAGGTGGATACTGGAACCGTGAGTCAGGCATAGCCCGAGACCCACCCCAGGCCCCAGATAACTCAGGAGACCAGTGTGGAGACTCAAGCCCCAGCAGGGCTCAGTGGGTGAGGGCAGATGCCCTGGAGGGCTATGCAGGGCAGCAGGGATGACACGCAGCTCTCACCCGCTAGGAGACCCACGATATGGTGAAGGGTGGGCACACGTGGCTTTCACTCTCCTTATCTGAAAGCAGGCAGCTGGCTGGACTCCACGGAGTGGTGGCTGGGCTCCAGGCACGTAGCTGGCTGAACCTCTCTGGGCCTGTTCTTTGTCCCAGCACCCCCTGCCCCACACTTGCCACCTCCCCTGTCTGTCCCAGGACAGATCTGTATCTCATCCATCTTGGCATCTACTCGAGAGGGACTTGAGCCAGTGCCTTGTGCTTTTGGTAGAGTAGCAGCGTTTTTCTCAAGTCCCATGATTTTCCTTATTCAGTGTTTTCTGTAGGAGGACTCCGTCCAAGTAGATCTCAGCTCAAACAGTCTTGTTGGAACCGAGCGGGGGCCAGTGCTCCCACTGGAGCCCTTTGCAGCGGGTGACCAAGTGTTACACTGAGTTGGTGTAATCAGCTTGAGGTCCAGCTGCCAGGGTGGGGACCACAGAGCGGAAACTGGTAGAGTCTGTGAGTCCAGGGATCTTGGCAAACACCCACTACTGTGGCCCAATCTCTCCTCCCAGGAGCAGGCAGTCTGGGGTCTCCAAGCCAGGCTGCCCACTCTGGTTTGTGTCCTGGACCTGGGTCACTTGCAGGAAGCCCTGCCTGGCTTATCACCACACCAGGCCTGGGCGGTATCTGGGTGGGAGCTCAGCTCTCCCTGGCTTCTGGCCTGAGCACATTTTTAAAGAGGGTGGGGAATTTATAGCCCAGATGTATTTTGAAAGGGCTCCTGGATGGGATAGTTAGAAAGTGCTTTTCAAATTACTGGTTGGCTTGCTACTCTCTGTTCTAAACTTCACTGTAAGCTGTAAAATACGGAAGATTGTTTGCAGGGAATCTCACTGGACACCGGCACTTGGGACAAGATTGTTTTGAAAGCAGAAAGATAATTCTAGACTCTCTGCTATCCTTCCACCCATGCAGGGGTGCAGCTGGGAACGAGGGCTCACAAGCCAAAGGTCACATGGAGATCTTAATGGTCCTTCAATGCTCTGCCTTCTTCATGTGGTAGAGCAAGTTGACCTGAATATCGTAAGAGGCCAACAAAACAGCTGTCCTCACCTGGTATGCTGTAGGGAGGCCGAGTAGCTCTTAAAGCCCAGCTCTCAGCCCCCGACCCCCGTGTCTTGCCCCAGGGGTGTGGCATGACCCTTGGTGAATTAGTGCGTGACAGAGAAACCTGTCCAGTGTGCTAAGACGTGTTAGAGTGGCTGCACTGTCTGAGCACATACTTGGGATTCAAAACTGGGTGGAAATAGGAAATTTTTTATTGAGAACAGAAATAGATCAAGTCAGCAGAAACAGAACTGGTGAGCAGCCAGTTCCTGGGGGTCTGCCCCCACCCCACCCACAGCTGCCTTTGCTCAGGGGGCCCGAGGATGGTGTGTGGGGTGTGGTGCAGGGAGTGCAGCCACTATTCAGCATGTGGCCTTTTCTGTGCTCCCTGGCTTCCTAATTTTGCAAGGAGAGGGGTGGAATAAAGGCACAAAATCCTGAAATCATTCAGTGATTTTTAGAAAGGAATCTTCTGCTTGCTATCAAACAAGAGTTTTTGACATTTTCTTTTCCCTGTGGTGGTCTGGAGAGACTCTTTCTCCATACTGGTGAAAAGGGCAGTATTCTGGTCCTCAGGCCCTGGACGGTGGGCGGCTGTGGAGGGCACTGGGGGAGAAGTAGTTAAGAGAGCATCGATGGAGTTTCTGATGTCCAAGCCCTGCTGCATTTCCAGCTCTAGGTGTCTGCTGGAAAATGCAGCTGGGAGCCAGGTGACACACATGTGTGTGTTTTGCTGTTACCAGAGAAACAAGAGGGAAAAATAAAGAACTAAGTTTCCACAAAAATCCAAACTGACTTCAAAAGCGTCTGTGTGCAAAGAGACGAGAAACAGGCGGGGATTCCAGTAACGGGCACTCTGTCCTGCTCCGCAGCCCACTCCACCCACGCTACAGGCACACGTCCACTCGGCCTGGAAGTGGGAGAGTATGTTGGTTTTTCCGGGCAGGAATGGGCCGCCCCCGTCTCTGGGCAGGAGCCGAGCCTTCCCTTGAAGTTGTCCCAGCAGGGTTGGAGACACACACTGCACTGTTAGCCTCAGATGGGGCGGGTTCAGTGAGACCACAGTCAGAGGATGCTGGTCTTTCTAAGTGGCTATAAATAGAAGGGAGGGGTCTTATTAGCGCATTAAACACCAAAGATGAGTGGGCTGGAAAGGGGGAGGCTGTGAATTTAAAGAAAGACTCAGAGCCAGATGCAGCAGGCCAGCAGACTTGGCTCAGACCACTGGGGTCAGCACGGCTGTCTTGCAAATCCAGGTCTTTCCAGAATGGAGGTGACACGGGCCCTGACACTGTGCGTCATCTCCCATACTCCCCTGTGGCGGGCCAAGGCATCTATTTCTCTGGGACTAGAGGAAAAGGCACTTCACATGCAGGGCCAGGAATCAAGCCGGTGTGGGACTGAGCCCTGCTGTCAGCAGTCATGGGTGCTGTCCGTCTAAGGGGCTGGCTGCCACCTTGGGTCTGGTGTGCACAGCTGTCTGTGGCCTCCCCAGGTATCCTCCAGAGGCACAG